TAATTAATTACCTAACGGAAAATAAGCTTAGATAACTATACTAGAGATTTAAGTACCCGTTAGTCGCAAGGCTATATAACTTCTTAAAGTAATTAAATAATAATAATATTAAAATAGGGGTACTAAAATAGTTAATAAAAGTATATTACTAATACTAAATAAATACGTAGAGCCTGCGTAAATTTAAATTTAAATTACGTAATAAGCCTAACTTTAATTAGGAAATCGTCGTCAATATTTTCTACCTAAATAGTTAGCTAGTCTTATATATAATCGACGTAGCTATATCTTTTTAAGTAGGGCAATTCCTTTAAAATTTATAAATAAAAATAGTATAAGCAGCCCTGCGAAGGGGATAGATCGATATATACTAAGGACCGCTAGATAGTATTAAAACCGATACTAATACTAGTTTTAAGTTAATAAAATTTAAAAAAAATACGACGGCCTACGGTATATAGTTAAAAGTCGTACTTATTAAAGCGCACTATAGTATTAAAAAAGTAAAAAGGGCATACTAATAACTAAAAAGGGCGTTTAGAATTATTAAAAAAGAAAATCCCGATTCTACTAATAATAAATACCTCTAAATAGTACTTAAATACTATAATAATACTATAAGGCCTAACGGGCTTATACTAACGCTATTAGTATTTAAAGCATATTTAAAAACGACCTTAGTCTTACTACCGTTATTAGATATAAACTAACGAGCCCGAGTAGTTAAAAAAGTAATATAGGTATTGCGCGAAGTAAGTATAAAAAAGTAAGTTAACGAGGTAATTACTATATAAAATAAGCCTAATATAAGGGGTAATTTAGATATACTACTAAATTCGGATATACGAATATAGTGCGAAATTACCTAATAATAGGCTAGGCTATATAAACTAATTTCTATTAACGAGCGCTCTTATATAATTATAAGAAATCGTAACTAGCTACTTAAAGTATTAATTATAATAATTAGACCGTACTATATAAATCCTAACGAGGTATTTTCTAACTTATAAAAAGAAAAAGAGCTAGGGGAAACTATATAACCCGTAATAGAGGTATAAGAAATTATCTTTAATAAAATCGTTATAATAATATTAATAGATAACGAAGAAAAGGAAATTACTAAAAAGGTACTAATACTACTAATAAGACGTTACAAAAAACCACAACGATAAGCCCTAATGCGGTAATTTATTATTAATAACGAGATAATTAATACTTTTTATATAGTAAAAGAAAAAGCCGATTTCGAACTAGTAGTTAAACTACGTAAAAAAAACATAATTATAACTACTAAAAAGCCGTATAAGGGATTAGATCTTATTAAAGTAAATACTTTTCGTAATTAAGGGGTCTATTAATTTATCCTTTACGACCTAGAGAAATATATAAACTTCCGCATATTTAAATTACGAATAGTTCGTAAAATTAAAAAAAAAAGAATACCTTAGCCGTACGAGAAGTCTAAATACGTAATTCAGGGGTATAGCGATATTAAAAAAGTAATACTACTTATATAATCGCTTACTATATAGCGCTATAGCTAATAATTAATAATAGTACTAATAGTATTGCTATAAAAAAAAGGATACGAGATTTAGGGCCGTAATATTACCTAGACCTATACCTAATCGGCCATAGGGCTTATAAAGAAAATCCTAGCCTATTTACTAAAAAAAATAGCTAGTAAGTACCTAAAAGGCACGATTATTAAAGTACTTAAGCTACTATATAAGCTCGTAAAATCGGGTACTTATTAATAGGCTACCTATTACGATTTTTATATTAATTAACTATTAATAGTCACCTCTACGTACGACCCGTACCTACTAATCTCTAAATATAAAAGTAACTAATTTAGGATTATTAAAATATAGACTAATAATATATTAAGCCTATTTAATATTAATTTTATAAAAAAAGAGGATAAGGAGCTTTAGAAAGCGGGCTTCGTAGCGAAGCTAAAAGAGGTCCTTATAATAAATACCCCCCTAGTATTTAATAGTAGGATTCTTATAATTAAAAAAGAAACTATTATTTTTTAATAAAAGGGGTAGGGTAAGAAAATTAACCTCGTTAATCCGAACGTAACTAACGTTAAGAAGTAGTATAAGGCTAAGCTCGTGCGAGGGGTATATATTACGAATATTTATTAACCCGAGGTAACTTTTAACTACGCTAGGGTAGCGTAGGCTATAGATCTAACTAAACGAGATATTAAGGTACTTAATAAGTAGCTTAAGTAATAGTAAATAAATCTCGATCGAGGCCTCGTTTATTACCTAATCGACTTTATAATTAATAAGCTCTACGTTTTTATTAATAAGTTATTTATAAATAATAATAACCTTATTTCGTAATTAGGGTATATTATTATCTTAGCTAACGAGAGTATAGGTAAGAGCAAATTTATTATATACGATAATATAATCTATTATTCGTTAACTAAAAATAAGTAAGTAATAAGAAGTATACTAGCGTTAAAAGTCTATAGCATAGTTAATAGTATTAACCTCTCTTACGTAATTTTAATAACGCTAAAAAAGATTACTAATCGACTTAGCCTTCTACCTATTCTAATAATTATTTATACTAATTTCTATTCGCTATATAAATACCTCGTTAAATTAAGAATAACAAAAAAAAAGAGGCTTATAATTAATATTATAGCCCTTAGGTAATCGTACGAAAAGCACAAGATACTTAAGATCCGTTAGATTAATAATAAAAATAACTTCGTAAACGCTTTTATAAAAGTAATATTAAATAAGGGATTAAAGTAATTCGTAAGTAATAAAAAAGTTACTATACAAATAGAAGGATAAGTTATATAAAAAGAGTAAAAAAAAGGGGGAAAAAGAGATAACTTAATAAACGGGCCCGAAGTTAAATTATACCTCTAACTATAATAGTTAAATTAATAAAAAAAAAAAGAAAATTAGTATTAGATTAAAAATCTAATTCGATTACGGTATATAGCCGATTACGTAGGGGCTAATTAGGGGCCCTATTTATAATTATCGTAGCTAGCCTAACCTACGGTTAGAACCTCCTTTTTATACCTACTACGTAGATATTTATATAGTTTAATTAATCTCTTTATTAACCCACGGTTCGAACTAACTACCCTATAATAGGGATACTAACAGGTACCCATCACCTGAAATTTTTAGACTGTCAACGGACGCTCCGTCAGAAGCAATGATCTTGAGAATGGAGAACTGGCAATCACACAGTTCTTGGTATTTCCATTAAATACTTACTTGGCGTTTCCAACTGAGCTCATCCCCGATAGTTCCCCCAGGAGCGTCTTCTGTAACATGGCCCGACATTCCATGTCAGGGAGAGGGGTTGAAGTCTGTCTTTCCAGGCTGGGCTCCCTCCTTTCCAAACGCCCCACAATCTCTCTGTGCAGACCCAAGGATATTTGAGGCTATCACCCGCATATGGCTTAATAGGATTAAGACTTCGGCCGACTTTGTTAACAACGGATCCAGACAAGGAATGGTCGGACACCCTCCCCATGAGCTTCGTCCACACGATATCACTTACAGAATGGGGGCATCCACTTAAGCTCACGGGCGACCTTTGTCAAATGTGCGGAGTCCGGACCAGCGGCATCCATGCTTTGGTCACATAACCAACCGTGCTTGGAAGACCAAGAGAGAGGTTTTGAGAGGCAAAAGACTCATTCTGGCTCTCGAGCGCTCCCCGCGTTTGTTTGCCGCTAGAGAAAAACCTCCTAGCTTGACCCGAGCGAAAACTGACACCACGGAGTTTGGCAGAAAAAGTCGGATGTTGTCAGCTTTCGTTATCAGTCAACACCAAGCGCCCGTTTCACGACGACCTTCCCTACTGGGCCTGTGATTGTCTGGCCAAAGATTCTAGGTGAACTTTTCAAGCAAGTACACTACCTCCCCACGGGATACATCTTCGAACTCATATGCCCATCCTGGCGTACCTGGTAATTAACGCCGTCTGAAGACTGCTTTATGTGGTGCGATACGAGAAAAAAGATGAGGGCCGAACTTCACACATCCCTTTCTGAACCCTGCCGCCAAGCTTTCCGCGATACCACCACCATGGATACCAGAGCCTTGGCAAATCTCAATTTTCTGCTTTCATCTGGTTACGAGCGCTCACTGCAGCAATATCACCACGTCTTTTTCTCAATGCTCTCGCTGCCAGTAATTTTTTTATCATTTGCTAGGCCTACCAATCTCCGTGGGCAACATAAGCTGGAGGAAACTGGGCCAAAACTTCCTCCTAAGCCGTTTCCCTTACGTGTCATTCCCATAGAGTTCTAAGATCATAACCTACAACCCACCCATTCGGATTCGGCCTTCAATAACTGAGCTAAATAACACTTGCTTCAGCACGAAGGGCTATGACAGATCTAAGAGCTGAGTTACTCGCTGACCAGAGGCCGACCCAGAGAACGGAAATGCTCGCCGCGTTACCGACAGTACCGTCGCATCGTGATCTAGTTCACATGACACACAATTTTAATATATATGGAGGACTTCTCGGTCGAGGTCTCCCTGGGATGCCTGTGATCCACTGCCTGGTATTTTACTTCCAATTGGATCTTCATCCGATCTAAACTCTACCGCTCGCCACTCTGGTGTTAACGTGTGGCCGGATCATTCGCCGCCCCCAGGTCTGGCGACCTAGATGAGTGAGGGTGAGCAGGGTGAATTAGGCATATGTGCAGAATGTATGTAACTTTTCCCGCCGCGGTGTTTCCGTTCACTGATGGCTAGTCATGCCCCACCCGGGCTGAGGCTGGCTTCGCTGTCTTCCAATTCCCTGACGCTAAGTCTCAAAATATGATTGTGGTTGCTTTGAGATTGGCGGCATTTTCGTGTTGAATGATCGGAATAGACACATCATCAGGCTCTTTCCTGGAACCGAGCCACTTCATAAAATTTCATCACGGACATTGACAGATGAATCGAAATAATAGCCATAAGTACTTCTCTTCATACACGGTAAACCAATCACTCCATGATATCCATGATCCGTCTCATCCGTTCCTTGATCGTGGCGATCTCTTGTTCCAAGCGGCGTCTCAACTCGGGGTTCTCCTCGCTTTCTGTCGCAACATTGTCATTCCTGATCAGGTCAAGAACCGACGTAATCGCATCCAACCCATCACGGACGATAGCTTGTAGCTCGGTTTGTACGTTATCCGCTAAAAGCCTCATTCTGCTCTTGAACTCAATCATGTGGTTCTCAAATAGATCCACGCGATCAACAGCATTGCGGATAATGTCTTTACGTCTCCCATCACTCCCTCCTCCTACATTCACTGCGATTAACAACATACTCCAAGATGTGGGCTGTATGATCTCAACTTACCATATTCCGCGTTACACCTCCTGTAAGGGGTCTCCATCGCTTGACCAAGTATGGACGTTCGAATGCCGGTAAGTACGTCAATACGTAGCGAGCTATCTCGAAGGTGAGTTTGAGACCTTTCTCAGAAGATTGAGCTGCTTACTTCAAGTCAGCGCCGGTTTTATCCGTGAGATCCTCTACTTGGGACTCCATGATATTCTTGTGGCAGATCAAAGTTTCCTGAAGGAGATCGGTGACTCCAGGAAAAAGCTCAAGCTCATTTTCTGACTAACATTAGCGGAGTGATCCCAGTATGGGATTGGAAGTTCCTCACCAAGAAATTCCAGTGCCCAGTCCATCTGGCTCTGGATCAGACGACAGCTCTGCTCCAGTCTGGCCCTGCAAGATGTGCACACCGAATCCCACTGAGGCGTCACATCTCTAGCCATGGTGCAAATCAACTCCTGATTCCAATCATGCCAGCCGGCAATTCTGGTACGATGGTTCCCGAAATTGCGACAGAACGCTGAATAGGTCCCTTCAAACAGTTTTGAGCAAAAAGTCACGAGGCATCACTTGCAAACTTTGACCTACCAGGCGCCCACTGAAATCTAATTAGCTAGACACATGTGGAAACAACTCAGGCGACGTACAGGATCCCATTCCAAGGCGGCATTCGCCGCTGCAGTCATCCATGTATTGTTGCGTCGATCTTAAACATTCGAAGTCAGACAGATTGATCGTCTGAGGAGCAGGTAGACCACATACTATCATAGATTCGTATCCTGAAGTCATCTTTGATCGACGTCCCAACGAGGCTGAGATCTGAGTTCCTTCTTGTCAAGTCCTGATTACCCACTATCAGTCAAAGATTCCAAAGGTAAAGAGACATTGTGTCATTGTCTTGCGGATTCTCTGACCCTCTTCAACCGAGACTCGATCAAATTCAGCGTGTCGCGAATATGGAGCTTTTGTTCAGCACCGGTGCTTCCTGCACCAGACTCAACCCACAATGCAGCTTCTCCAAGCATAGCGGGAATGTCGTTATCGATATATCGCTTGGCAATACTCAACTGACTGTCCGCAATGATGCCGAGGCAGTGCTTTCGTAGAGCAAGGATACCGCTGAGCTGCAGTGATGGGAGGGCCACGTCTCTCGGCTTATGTCGTTCATCCCAGTATAGGATGTTGCTAACGCAGAACACCGCCAGGTTTCCGCCTGCAATCTTGTCTTCGTAAGCTGTTCGAAGTTGCCTGGTGACAATGGCATTGCGGGTCTTTATCAGATACTCTTTTAGTCTATTGTGAAGGATGACATGTCAGCTTGCACTGAGGCCAAGTTTTGTGTACTTATTCGACAATTTTGAAGGCCGCGTAACTTACTCGAATAAATTCTTCTTCAAAACCGCACTGTTCAGCCAATGCGAGTTAGCGATACGCAAAAGCCTCTGTGCAGATGGGTCTCACTTGGTTCGCCTCTGTTCGTTGTGGAGTCGAATCGATTCTCTTTGTTCCTCGTCTGTCAGTTCCGTCATCTCCAACTCGTCAATTTCCGCCAGGTCAAGATTGATATTCTCAATGTCTGCCTCAGTGGTTGAAACTGCATTGCTCAGTTGCTGGATACGATCTGCGTGTCGGCCTCGCCAATCTTTCATGGCTTCTTCAACTCGAATGTCCTGTGGCTCAGTGGTCAGCAAACCGCAGAAACATTATAAAAAGGTGGGAAACTGGAGATTCTAAAACGTGCTCACATCAGACTTTGTGCAGACGATCCCAACTTTGGACAACCCTGCCTGTTGCGCAAGTTCAAAGACACTTTCCACACCGACATCTGTAGTTGCCCGCCCAATGTTGCATATGGCAAAAATCTCATCACATTCGACCAGATATCTTTCGGTGATAAGTCTCCGTGCCGAGTTGGAGTCACGCAGTCCTGAGAGTCATATATTAGGGATATTTGGGCCGTAACAAAGGATGGTGCACCTTACCAGGAAGGTCGACGAGGACTAGACCCTTACTCAGAATATGTGAGGGCAAAAATACCCTGGTTCTTTCTGTTAAAAGACTTCACTATACGACCTCTGGAGTGAGGCAAGACTTACTTGATCTTACGGACGAAAGGCCAAACAGCTGGCGTTCGTGTATCTACCGATTCGGATGTCAGATACATCAGGAAAGCGGCGCAACTATCCCGCGAAGGCTTCTGATGTCTTCCTTCAAGCGGTAGGTCCACTCTCCGCAGCCAGGAACGAAAGGTTCTTAGGACAGTGGCTTCCTCCTCATTGATAAGGAAGTCTTCGCTTGCCAGCTGACCGCGGAACATGGACCGGAAAGTGTCCCGAGCGACGTTTGCTTGCTCTTCAATATCGACAACTGTTGCCGCCTCATCATTTCTCCTCAATTCTCCCGCGTTCAGGTGAAACATTCGATACGATTGAAGTAATTCCTTTATCTGATCCATGAGATCATCCTGACTGAATAATTCCACGTCAATAGTGAAAGCATCCCCGTCCTTATGGTGATACTCGGTGACAACGCAGGTGCATGCGGCCCCGCTATTGCTCTAGCATACGTTAACCGACGGCTGCGATGCTACGCAAGGTCTTCCATAACCTACTGTTCTAGCGAGGTTCTTTTGATCCAGAAGGGAATTCAAGACGCTACTTTTACCTGTGCTCGTAAGATAAGGTCCCTTCGATCATAGTACTAGACGCTCACCAACGCCGGAATCTCCAACAAACCCAACAGTCCGCGTCGAAGGACCTTCAAATTGGGACAGATCCAGTGCTTGGCCATACAGTCGTCTGATTGTTGAATCGGGGTTGATGTGAAGAGGGCTGTCTTCGAGAACACCTGCCAACTGAGTCATCAATGCCTTGGCGTCCTTGATGGCATTTTGGACCGCTGGGTCGTAGAAACGACTCTCTGGCAGCTCCTCGTCCTTGACATCATGATACACCAGGGCTGCTTCAGAACGTCCCCGCGATCGACGATGAGGGCGCGGGCTCAAGGAGTTTTGCCTAAAGGCAGGCGTAGGATTGCTTGGTTGAGGAGTCCGTCGCCCAGCATCGTCGAACAGGTCTGACAGTGCGGCTCTAATATCAGATAACCCCATATCTACTGGTGTGCGATCGAGGCGTTCGATAATCAGCCGATTCAGACGATCAGTGATGCTTCCAATCTCGGGGGAGTCCCGAGCTGGATATCGTTCCCCAGGGAGACTATCAGCAGCCCTATAGGAGAGTGGAGAGTGCGGAGCTGATGTCAGCGGGGAGGTTGATGCTGGAGCAGCCCCTGGGCGAGTAGTCGGTGTACGAGGGATCGACGCTCCAGATATTGCAGACTCTGTCCATGCCTCGGTCTCAACTGATGGAATAGGCTCATCTGGAGACACTTGTCTCGGCAATATTGGTTCCGGAAACAAGGTGTCACTTCTGACGATAGATGGAGAGCGACTCGACTCAGGAGTGAAAATTGGTGCAGACGATCCTCGAGACGTCGTCGATGCTGCTACTGACTGGTGCCTGTTTGGAAATGGAACTGGCGGAGAACCTGAGAGTACTTGTTCCTGGGGAAACAATACGGCCCAAGGCGGGGGTTCAGAAGCCGTGGTCCTTGGGGGACCGGCCGTGGCCGAGGATCGCTGATGGTAGTATTCCAACGTTAACTGAGTGGGCTTCTTGACGGAAAGGATTGATATTGGGGTTTCGAGGAGAAGAACTCACAACTCTTGACATCCTTTAGAACTCGGCGGTGACAGGAAAGAACCACGAAAAGCTGCGAAATCGGGCGCTTTAGCCAGGTGAGTGTGCTGCCCGCCTCTTCAAATAAGTTGGTGCTCCATTTCTCCCAAGCCGTCCCATTCACGCTAGCCCGAAAGACATAGCCTCATTGCGGTTTTGTATCCTATTACAGAGACTGATTCCGTTGGAGATATCTATTCTGGTAAAGCAAAAGCGCCCTCGCGGTGGGGGGATCATGCGGGCGAGGGCGGCGCAGACCTGTCCTGTTGGTTTCAGCTGCACACCCTGGGTCGTCGACCCAACCAACACAGATGGGTTAAGCGGGCGAAATAAGCGCCAACAGATTCTTTGGACCATGTTATGTATGCCACTGAGTCAGTCACTTGCAGAATTCTGATTCTTGGGTTGGATTCGGGCTCATTGTCACATGAACGAGTCGAGAAAGCCGAATTAGACTTGCAATCGCCAGGGCTGTCAGCTTTTGTTCTAATACGCGGCCAGAGGGTCATCAGTGCTTAACAACATCAAAGTTTCTGAAACTTGCCCGTGTAAATAAGGCCATCAGGTTGCAAGTACAACCTTGTAAGTCCATGAACGAAAAAGTCTTAGGTTCGTTGTTCGGCTTATATTTCTATGATGAAGAAACCCCAGCTCGGCATTATGGAAGGAGAAATAGCCATAACTAAGGCCAGTGCCATTGTGTATATGTTCTCTTTCGAAATCATCAGCTCCCCGTCTCCAAGATTTGAAATAAACAATGTTTCAGTGATTGATAATGTCTCTAGGACGCGTGACTTTCCCATGTTCCCTGCTCACTGTGTCGAATCCATGGTTTATAACTGCTAGTGAAAATCGACCCGCAAAAGTAAACGTTGGAAAAAATCATATAGAAAAGTAGAATCATGTAGGAATACCTTTTCTGAGAAAATCCTGTCAACTTTTGAGAACAGGCGGTCGCCTGGCTTTGAAGCCTCGTCTCCGGCTCCGCTAATGACCTACGTCAAAGATTCATCAACAGTCGGTGTCCATAAACTCAACATATGGCGTCTATCTTCCAAATTCAACAAGTACAATATATTTGCCTTCCGATTTGGCGTAACATTGTGACTCTGAGGGTTTTCAAACGACCTAACTTGTTTTGCCTTTCGAAAGTTAGTGAACATCAAGCTGTCAACCAGCGAGAGCTGAAACGCCTGGATTTTGTGTCAAGGAGTCCGAATCACTGTTCAGAGGATGTGCTGTACCTTTTAATTGAGCTTCAACCTCTTTGATCTTTTGAAGGCGCTCTCAATAGCCAGCTGGTCTCATGAAATGCAAGTGCTCAGTGACACGAAAGTAAGCGTTGGCAACGTGGTTTTCTTTCTTCCGAGTTCATCGCCTTCAAAAACGTGTATAATTTTCTTTCGCGGCTCTGGGATTTTCTTTAAGGAAGACTAGATGCCGCCAGAACCGGTTACTCTAGTCTCAACACCCGAGACTTTAAACTTGCTCATTGGACTTTCATCAAGTTTCGCAGTGAGCAGATGCATCCTGAATTACGGCATATGGTTAGCAGGTAATGTTAGAAGTACTTAACGCAGAGACGCTCTCCTATATCACACTTGCCAACGAACTCATTCAATTCCTTAAAAATATTCATGCAAATCGTGGTCTGTTGGCTACAGACACTTTGCAGCCGAATGTCTTGATGATTGACTCACTACCCCATAGTCCTTAGCAAGGAAGTCGGCGCTTCGGGAGTTGAGAAGATTGAACACCACATGATTCAAGTATTATGTCTGAATGCTGATGTGAACGTTTCACTACATTTTTGTCTATCGATCTGGATCTCAACCTAGTGTAAACATACAAATGGACCAGCAACCTTGGTGCTGTCAGCCATGAGCTCTTTGGCAGAACTTCAACTCTGACAACTGTCTCGGCATGACTATGTGCTTGGCAGATCTAGCCTACTATCAACTTGTTAAGTCTACTTATGTTTCCCTGGAGAAAGTGTGGTCACTGACAGGTTCTACGCAATCCAGATGGAGATACCGCTTTGACTAAGAGAACATATGCTCCAACGTTCCTGCATCATTCCTCACAATCAGTAAATCTAGGTTGAGTCCACCTAGAAGACTAAACATCACTTATAAAGCTTGAACTACATCGTCTCGGAGTCAGGAAGAGAGTATCAAACCGTCGCTACCATTGAATATACCAAATAGTGGTCCAAATGCTTATACCAGACATGATTGTATCGCGAGCAATTCCTTTTGGGGAGACTATCACTTCAAGTAAGGTAACTAACTACACCTACCTCGTTGGGTAGTGGATCAACTCACATTTTTACGTAGAGGCATGAGGATCTCATTAGTCAAGGCTGCCTTACAACTAGAGACTCGAAATAGTACATTCTTGGACACCTGAGTTTTGTTTGAATCGCATATTTCACATCGGCAACAAGACGCACCAACCCACGGTCCTGCTATGAGCAACAAACACTCGGTCGTCTTCAAGTTTTCTACTCACATTTCAAAAACCAGATCGATCGGCCAGACAGCGCCGTCCGTACATATTCTATCAATTGATTAAGAACAAAAGATCACCAGAACACAAAGCCCCCAGTAGGTTCATCTCTCAGCATAGACACCATCCTCTATCCAGCATACAACCTACGTAGTATCACCTCTATGATTGAGCTTTCAGGTACAGAGCAACAGATCCAACCCGCTACTACGCAACCGACCCGATGTCGACTCTAGATGTGGATTCTCACCCCCAAGCCCATGTGATCGCAAGCGCCCTCATACCCCGTCCGTGGTGCCATCTGGAGATTCGCTCCTCTCCAGTGATCTTCTGAAAGTACTCTGCCTAACAAACTAGGCAAGAACAAAGCTCCCTTCTCGGGCCCGACGCTAAGAGAAGGGGAAGAGGCGGGGAGCGTCTTGCGTCAACAGCTTTCCTCGCACCAAAAACTCGGCAATCGGATTCGGTTCTCCCAAGCTTCGATCTTGGCCGACGGAGAGCGATTTAGCTGAGCATGATGGGTTGAGCTTAGAACCGAAGAATAGGTTTCATCAACGACAAACGACATCAATCAAATCTCCGCTTTAAAACCAAAAGTTCCTCGATCGATCCGGTTTTCATATTGGGTTCCAGGCCATTCAAAGTTTTCCATCCCCGGGGCTAAGAGTGTACGGAGCTCTCCATGAAAATCGTCCCTCAGCTCCGTGTGCGTGGCTACCGTAGGGGTTCTTTAAGCACTGAGGATGGTGCGGCGATATCCACGTTCCTGACGATCTCTAGTCCCACGAGGTAGAGCCGCAGAGGGCTCGGTGAAAAATCACGACCAAGAAATGAGTGAAACCAATCACCATCGAACAACACAACCTCGACCACAAATTACCATGTTCCGTTTCTCTGAGCCCCAGCAACGCCAACAAATGGGAGATCCCAAAAGGCCCTCAAGCTGGTTTGGCAGCTCGGGAACGCACACAAGCTGAAACCGCCACTTGCGTAGTTGGCGTCGAAAAAAACGCTACCAATTGTGGGGGTTTAGGGAAACACCTGATGAGAAATGGATTAGCCGAGGTGGGACGGCGTCAAGGAAACATCACGTAGCAGTCGCTTGCGTTTAACAGATCGAGATCGAGATGGCGGGAGAAATTGACGCATATCCGACTGGAGGGTTCTCCGCAGACGCGTCGGCCATGTCGTTGATGATGATGAGCAGTCGACACAGCCGGCGTCGACAACGAACAAAGAAGAGAGTGCCTCCGCTCTCTATAGCTTGGCCCGAATAAAGAACATTCTCAACCGAGAGGATCTCTAAACGCGCGTGTGTCCTGTTTGCCTTCCAAAAGGCCCGAATCATACAGATAGATGGCAAACAGGTCTAAGGGGTCATTAGTACCCTCACGAACCCCCTATGGTCCCTATCCGAATCTTGATTCGCGATGAGATCTTATCCGCTCAATCAGCCACACTAATTGACCCAAAGGGTAAAGACACCGAAAGGAACAGATGGATCTTGCGTCGCCGGCCGGCCGGGCAGAAAAAAAAAATACAACACCGAAAAAGTAGAATGCGTAATAGGTCTTCGTCAAACAACTCCACATCAAGGCCGGCGCCGTTTCGGGCTACGCGGATCACCCGGATTCCGACGCTAGTCGTTTTCCCCGGCGAAGATCCTCATCTCGGGCGGGTCGGCGAGCGAGAAGGAAAAGGAGCAAGGGGAAAAGCGGAGCGAGACCCGTCAGGAAGTTTGTCGTTTTGGTTCAACCGTTGCCGTGGCTCATCGTCTAGACAGTATGAACCAACCACTGAACCAACCCCTTACCCATCACCCGTAGTGTAATTTTGAGGATTCGAGCCTCTGACGTCCAAATCCCGCTGTTTCCACTCCGCTTCGCTCTTACCAACGTCTCGAAAAGCTGGCGGTCTGGTAGTTTGCCCTGGGAGACGAGAACGAAAACGAGGCAGTCTTTTATGAAGCTTTCGGTTCGGGCATTGCGATTCTGTCTTGCCTACGTGGAAACATGGTCTACCTTAGTTTGCGCAACGTGGAAGGGGCGTGTATGCTGGAAACGCATGAATCGCGTAGAGCAGATGGATGTAACGTTCGAAGACCGCGCTAATCATGAAGTGGGTAAGAGACGAGCAACGGTGAAGTATCAAAGAACAATGGTATTACGCTTGATATACGACAAACTTCCGCCCCGGGGGTGAGGTAAACACTTCTAGCTCTACGTTCGGACCTCTCACAACTCGGCACTCCGATCCGTCAGCGGTCTATTCC